ATCCTAATAGCAAAAGGAACCTAATAGCGATGGCCTCCAACCTACAAGGGATGCCCTCCAACCCAGAAGCAAGGCCTCCACCCTACTAGCGATAGCCTCCAACCTAATAACAAAAGGGAAACTCATGGATTTGATGTTAAGAGTTAGGCCAAAGCCAGCAAACTTGAAGCACCCGTGTGATGTTTCGCAGGACCTCAACGTGAAATTCTCAGCATCACAAAGATTTCACTTCATTCTTCGTCATATTCTGCGTGTTCCGCTCTGCTTTCGCTTCTAGCCAAAGCAACATAAACAAATGACATATTAACTGACCACACTTGGAAAAACACATATTACTGTCCTTTCACACAATTGAGCTGCCGAGCTTGCCAAGGAAGTTTTTCAGGAACAAAGTGTCGGGCATTAGCACCTGCCTCGGACCGAGTAATCTTTGTCAACTTGCCAGTACCAAGTAATCCATGTGGGAATCTCGAGGCAAGCACCATTGCCACAAGTGTAGGATCGCTCTGATCCTTGCCAGTGAAACCCTTGAAAAATGCACTCTTATCACACAAGCTCTACACGTCAATGCATGTTTTGATATGTTCTATTGATACTTACCAATGAATTGTTCTATTGCTGCTCGCCTTCCCATGAAATCTACAAAGGAAAAAGAGCTTGGCCTTCATATTCGACGTTAAAAAGTCCCACCCGCCCGGGGCGCAAACTGGATCAGGACGGTCACCACGGTCACCACGCTCACCTTTGAAAGTGCATGGTGTCAAGTTTTTCCTGACTTCACTACAGCTGCACGATGCCTGCCATAGGGATGTGGCTTGACCTCCAGTGCAGCCAGCATGTACCATCGCTTGGAGGCCATCGCTCTTAGGGTGGAGGCCATTCCTAGTCAGTTGGAGGCCATCGCTAGTAGGATGGAGGCCATCGCTTCTAGGTTGGAGGCCATCGCTCTTAGGTCGGTTGGAGGCCATTCCTGTTAGGTCGGAGGCCATTCCTATTCGGTCGTGTCGTGTCTCGACGATGTCGTTAGTGTTACTGTCTTGGTCGCTGCGCGTGATGGTCAGTTCTCTCGATTCAATAAACGTTTAAGTTTGGGCTTGAAATGTATATCAGGAAGTACAAGATCAAGGAGAGAGGGACACAAATTGCTGCCAAAATACTCTGATGCCGTTTCAGGCACCTGTGACGAGCCAAACAAACACATTAAGTCAACCACTGCAAAATCAATGGTTGCTCCAACGCTCCAACCTAATAGCAATGGCCTCCAATGGCTTTTAATCTGCTAGCCTTCTTGTTACTAGTAGTAAGGCCAGGAGCCCCTAGTAGCTTCTTGTTCCTAATAGCAATGGCCTCCACCTGATAGCGAATTCTTTGTGTGAAAGCGTGTACTGCTCTGGTTTGCAGCCTCTTCCGATCTTGGTGAGTCAACCCGCAACAGTTCCACATGCGCCTCCAAAATCAGAGGCCAAGTTCTCATTAAAGAACAAAAACAAAAAACAGCTTCGAAAAAAGACGATAACTCTGTTCCTTCTTTGATATTTTTTCTCTTGATTTCTTCTCAAATCCCAGCAAATCTGAGAGTGGCCCAAACCTCTTGGTCAAGCCGCCGCTGGTGCAAACGTGTGTTGAAAAGTGCAACCTCAAATGACGACTCAAAACCATTCCGGCCGGTAAATCTGACGCTCATCTATCCGCCCCACATGAATCAAATGGGCACATGAACGCTTATGTGGAGTCACACGAGACATTGGTTGTTCCAGCACTTATTGGAGTGCCGCAGATGACCTCCAGCCTACTAGCGGCCTCCAACCTAAGCATCCAGACCAAGTTGGGGAAGTTCCCATGCACTCGCCCATCGTGGGCCTGAGGTACACAAAGTACACAACGGACATGTTTGTTTTCTGCACGGCGGCGATGTTCGAAAAAACAAGATGGAACCCACGAACCCGAATGCAAACACGCGCTCGAAAACAAACCCAAACTTTGTTTGACACTCTTGTGGGACACTCTTGTAAGACACTTTTGTACGCGGTGCTCTTGAGGGACACTCTTGTGGGGCACTCTTGCGGGACACTCTTTTGGGACACTCTTGCTGAAAACTCTTGTGGGAGAGTCTTGTGGGACATCCTTGTGGAAAACTGTTCTGGGCACTCTCTTCTGGACTTGTGGGACTACTTCGTGGCATTGTGTCTGTCATGGGACACTTTTGAAGGAGATTTTTGTAGGACACTCTTGTTGGAGACTTTTGTGGGGCACTCACAAGAGTACTACTCTCGTGCGACACTCTTGTGGTGTGCCACAGACTAGATACAACAATGTAACACCAGCGACACGCCGAATCTACGCCAGCATGCGTTCCTTCCCCAATGGCACGGACTCACGCAAACGCACTTTCCACCGAGGTCGCACAAAACCGCAACAACCACATCCCGCGCTACATTTGCATTAACTTTCTGAGGCCATAGCGTTTGTACTACAAAGCTGCCAGTTCTGAGGCCAGCGCTCCCAGAAGCTGCTTCCCGGCTACCGTCCGTAACCGCTCGCAACCGTCCGCAACTGTTCGCGGTAGGGCGCTGCGGCGCTGAAATTAGGCGAAGCTTTTGGATAGGTTTGGGATGGCAGCATGACGTGTCAGGTTTGTGTGAAATAGCGAGGAAACGTTTAGAAACGTAACGTGTTGAAGCGTGGAAAATGATTTCACTGCGCAGGCGCAGCGTCTTTTGTGAGATCCTCGGTTTTCGTCACAGTCAGATTGGGATTGGCGTGTTAAGGGTTGTGTTTTTTGGGGTGTTAGATGTGGCTGTGACATTAGGGTCTTATCTAAAATTGCGACTTTGGTGGGTGGGAGTGTGGTCCGAACGTGTCGAAATCATACCAAACGTACGGCGTGGTGCAAATTTTGCTGAAGACTCGAAGATGTCACGTCATCACTTTTCGTGGCAGGCGCCCCAGCACCTTCCCATCAGGTCATGATGACAACAAGGCGGGCCATGGGTGAGGGCTGTTAAAGAGCTGGGCGTATCTATTGCAAACAATGCAAGAAAAATAAGAATTGCAAGAACAAAACCTAAGAGGTAAAGTCAAAACAGGTGTGAGTATCGAAATTTAATTTAAGCGTAATTTGGAGAAAAAAGGAAGACGGATGGCCCGGGAGCATGGAAGGAAAGGTTATGTAGAAGTAAGAGATGCGCATAAATAGTTCCGAGAGTTTTATTACTGCGTTTGCGCGCGCGCTAGAGACGACAAGTACGCGGACAGGCGCGCGCTTCTAGAGTTGTTGTTCAAAATTCTTAGAGGCGAGAGGGCTGGCTATATCCGCTTCATGGGAGCCTGCAGATTATCTATGTCCACTTCTTAGAGGCCCGAGGATTATCTATGTCAATTCTTTAGAGGCAAGAAAGCTGGCGATATCCGCTTCTGGGAGGCCTCCTCTCAGAAGCCCGAAGATTATCTATGTCCATTTCATAGAGGCCAGAGCGCTGGACAGTCCTAATCTGACTGTGAAGAAGACTGCCGATCTCACAAAACGCTGCACCTGCGCTGTGAAATCCTCCTCCACACTTCAATATGTTACGATTCCACACGCTCCACACGAATCTGACACGTCATGCTGCCATCCAAAACCTTTTCCAAAAGCTTCGCCTAATGTCAGCGCCATAGAGGTCTACCGCGAACGACACTCTACCCCCAGACCCCAGAGTTAAACGCGAACCCGTCGCTACGCATTCAGGAAAAAATCTAAAGGGTTCTAAAGATCTCGAATAATTAGTCTTCTTCTTTGGTTTTGCAGGTAGCTTCTGTTTAGATGAGGACGAGCACTGGAGGCCATCGCTACTAGGTTGGAGGCCTCCAACCTAATGGCGATTTCCTCTGACCTACTAGCGATGGCATCCAACCTAATACCGATGGCCTCCACAACCTGTGCTGATGAAACCGACAACAGTCTCTCTGTGGCTTTTGACCAACTTTACCCACTATCTACACGTCCAATTCACCCGCATGCAACAAGCACTTCTTCTGCGTTCCCCTAAGGCACTTGCTGGCGGTTGAGCACCTTAGTCTTCTGTCATGTTCTACCAACATATGAGAAATCCAATGGCCAAAATCTTCTGACCACAAGCCTTTCAGATGCATGTCTGGATTCCAAGGCTCCTGACGTATACTAGGCCGCTTTGGTTTCCGTGAGGACTTCAGCTCACCTGACACATACAAACCAAATTCAAGCAATACTGTTCGAATTTGTGCGTTCACGCTCAATGGGAGCTTTGCAACCAAAAGGCTTTGCAATCGACGACGCTGCATGGTGATGCGCAAGTCGGACATGATTCCTAGGAAGAGTTTCGTGCCAAGACACAGTGAAACAAATCTGTGCATTAAATGTTTGCTTCACACAAAGCGCTCCTTTGTGCTGTAGTCTTCAAACTTCAATGTGTTCAAAACAACAAAACACAGTAAATTGCTTCTAGTAACAAGTGCATCGCTTCTAATAACAAGTGCCTTACTAGTAGTAACAAGAAGCCATTAGTTAATTTAATTGTGTGTCTGTCACACTGAGAAACTCACGCAGTTCCAACAATCTGCGAGCAGATTCTTCCAAGTCCTACAAAACGCAACGAAGGCTCTGTAATTACAATCATTTTTTAAATTCTTATTGTTACTAGTAGTAAGGCACTTGTTACCACTAGCGAGGCACTTGTTTCTACTAGTAACACCTACTAGTCCCGATAGTCTCCGTAGACGGACATGTGCACAACCACGGTTTGCGTTGCTCAGTTCAAAGGGTCCTTTAGCAAAGCAGATACTGCTTGCAAAGAAAGAACCAGTGCTCCAGGACCTTGCTTCCAGTCGCTTCAAGTATTCGACCATTTTCTTAGATGCTCTTGTTGATTTCTGTCTGTCTTCGCATGTTCGTCTTTCTTAGTTTACAAGTCTATCTCCCATGCGCAACATCGCGCAGGCGCTCCACCTTTTTGGAGGCAACATCTATACACATCCTGAAAGGTCTATACACCAGAAGCCTCCCAGCCCTTCGCTCTCAAACCTGATGCAATGTAGTTGATGCCTTAGTGCTCCGCTCTAGTCGCTTCCTGCTAGTAAGGTGGCTTGTTACTAGTCGCATCCTCGCTACTAGTAGCGATGCCCTTTGCTCCTAGTAGCGTCCTCTTGTTACTAGTAGTAAGGCCAGGAGCCCCTAGTAGCTTCTTCACGTGTCACAAAGAGAGCGCCGGTCAAACGAAGCGGCTCTTCGAGATCTGAGGCGAGAACGTTTTGCATTGACTCCCAAATCACTGTCTCCAACCCGGGAAGAGCTCCTGACGCTCACCTTGTCATCCTCTACATTCACCTCAAAGTCCTGCAGAATTTCCAGTTAGCCTAGAAAACTCCAAACGGAAACTTCCATCAGGTCTGTCAAAGCTTCCCCATCAGTGGACACCAACATTCCATAACATTCCTACATCGTTGTTTTGTCTGCTTTAAAGGAGCTTTCCTTGCTGTTCTTTACAATGACGGGAGACGCCAATGAGTTCAAGAAAAAGAGAGCGCAGCGATGGATAAACCAGCGATGAGCACGAAATGGCTGTGGAAGAAAGCGATGAAGTGTTGAAGAGAGGAGCTACCAGCCTCCTCGCTCTCTTCTCCGAGCTCCAAAAAAAAATGTCGCAACAGCTTTGCTCTTTGACAAAAGGGCAGGGCAAAGAGAGCGCGGCGCGAAAAAAACAGAGTTGTCCGCCGTACACTTGCAGTCATGTTGCCGGATTACGTAGAGCTCGGTAAAGCAAAGAAAAGCGGTCAACAGGTGCGGTCTCGGAACAGTTCGATGAGGAGTGGGAACCTCCCCTTTGAATGAGACAGCCTCGGCCTTCGATGAGTCCAGCAAGGCACGGCAGTCACCACTGATTGGTCAAATATCTGTCTCTTTTGCTAGTCACACTGTTATCAGGATAATTTGATGTACCCTCTACATCCCTTCCATCAACCTCTCCCAGATGCAATTGGAAGAATAGTTTGACAGCTGCACCATGTTTCTTCGAAGGGAGTTCTTGCAGATCTTACAGTGGGAGCTCAAGAGCGGCGTCTAAATCAGGTGCTCTTGAAACATGCGCGCTGGGGCATTGAAACTGGCACCTGTCGAAAGCTCAGCAGCAGCGGAATGCCAAAGGTGCTCTGGAGTGTTTAATGCCGAACAGCTCGCTAAGGCGTGCAAAAAGTATGCTGTACGCTTGCCAGTGTGGATCTATAACCCGCGTTTTAGGGGTGTGTGCACTTTATTCCACACATCCCCAAACACAACAAAAAGTTACTAGGGACAAGAAGCTACTAGGGGCTCCTGGCATCGCTACTAGGAACAAAGACGCTACTAGGAACATGTGTGAAAAGTTGCATACTGTGCGATGGCGTTTGTTCTGAGTGTAGAGTGTAGGTGCCTGTGACTCAGAGGCACTGGAACAACATGCAGGAAAAGGAGTCCAAGGCTTCTTAGGCATTGGAAAATCCTTCGCTTTTAGGTTGGAAAAGCCATCGCTATTAGGTTGGAGGCCATTGCTTCTAGGTTGCAGGCATCCACGAAAGGCTTGCCGCCATTGAAGAACTTCGCCTCATCTCAACGCAGGATGCACTTGTTACTAGTAGCTTCTTGTTTCTAATAGCTTCTTGTTACTACTAGTAAGGCACTTGTTACTAGAAGCGATGCACTTGTTACTAGTAGCCTCTCAATAGGTCAGAATCTGAGAACTGCACAAAGTTACCAACGCCTGAAATGCTAAGGGGCGGCCATAAGATACAATCTTGCCTATTCAGTTTGGTAATACCAAGCTGCAGCCAAAACACCCGACATGAACTCCAGTCGCGCGTAGCCTGGACAAGAGTCTTGTTCAAACATGAGGCTGCCTCATCATGAGGCTATCGAACATGTTTTACAACTTTCTCTTTTGCAGATGCCTTTGCTTGAGAGGTCATCCACTGCAAACGACCATCCACCCTGGTCAACTCCATCCTGTCCTTCCTGCAAAGCAAGTGAGAGCAGGCTAAGTGAAAGAAGCACTTGTATTTCCACCAGAAATGGACCTCTCCTTTGGATAGGCCTCAATCACCGTCCTGCAAGCACGACAGCGTTGAAAGCGAATTCCAATCGGCAAATTCGCTGTCTGTCCTAAGCTCTTGGACGGCATCTGTTCCTCAAAGAAACGATCAAAATCAATCGCCTCCGACCTACTAGCGATGGCCTCCAACCTACTAGCAATGGCCTCCAACCTCCAACCCAATCGCAATGGCCTCCAACCTACTAGCGATGGCGTCCACCTAACCGTACTCTACCCGGGTGTGGTGTGCAATTGCTGGCCTGGTCTGGGTTAGAGCCGGATTCGGAAACTAATCGGTCGGATTCTGAAACTAGGGTTCTGAAACTGGGGTTCTGAAACTAGGGTTCTGAAACTTGGATTCTGAAACTGGTATTCTGAAACTGGGGTTCTGAAACTAGGATTCTGAAACTGGGATTCTGAAACTTGTATTCTGAAACTGGAAAGTCAGATTCTGCAACTGGTATTCTGAAACTTGCAACTGGTGATCTCCACATCATGCGATAGCGTGTGTGCCTGTGACATCACCTTCGAAGCACATCCAAACCAACGTCATTAGCCCCCCACCCAACCCCCCCTTGTCCCCATCGTGTCATCTCGACATCCCTCATCATTCACAAAGTTGCGGAATCCTAGTGAGGGAGTCCACAATGTTGCGGAATCCTAGTTGCGGAACGCCAGTTGCGGAATCCCAGTTGCAGAATCCTAGTTGCGGAATCCTAGTTGCGGAATCTTGACAGTTGCGGAATCCTAGTTTCGGAATCCTAGTTGCGGAATCCTAGTTGCGGAATTCTAGTTGCGGAATCCTAGTTGCGGAATCCTAGTTTCGGAATCCCAGTTGCGGAATCCCAATTGCGGAATCCGACCAAACAGTTGCGGAATCCTAGTTGCGGAATCCTGCGCAGTTGCGGAACTCGACTTTATCCGCCTGGTCTGGCAAAGTCAAGAGCTGGGTGCGGACAGGAAATGGTTGGGATGAGACGTGGCTGCAATAACACCTTTGCTTTGAAGTTTTGCTTAGAAGTTAAGTCTTTCGTCTACTCAAAGAAGTCACATGGAACATTGAAACACCTTAAATTGAAACCACAGCTTGGAACTTCTGCACGGTGGAAACGTAACATGGAAGATGGAGCAAACAAAGGCAAAGGAAGGGATTGGCAAATTACACTGTTACAGCGAAGTATTTGGTAGTTTGTCACGCAGTAGAAAAGTTCAGCAAAAGTGTTCGACTGCCATCAGAGACTGCATGAATGGCAAATTGAAAGGACTGGACCAGGCAACAAGCCACAACAAGCCGCAACAAGGAACAAGGACGCTACTAGGAGCAAGGACGCTACTAGTAGCTCCTGGCCTTACTACGAACGGAACAAGAAGCTACTAGGAGCAAAGGCCATCGCTGTTAAAGGCCATTGCTAGAAATCACGGTTCCAACCTCAGAGCGGTGCAACATCCCCAGTACAAATCCTTGTGCCGTGTCCTATCTTGTGAAAAGTTGAGCCATCTTGGAAAAGGATACAAATGAGAAAATGATCGAATGAATATGTGTTCATGAGTTGGAATATCTTGAAAATTGAGAAGCCATGTGTTTGGCTTATGAGTTGAGTATCGCCCTTGTGATACAATTGAACCAACAACTCCACCACACCCAACTGTAAAACACCCAACCTCATCACACCACACCAAATGTTAACACGCCAAAGGTTCAATGCAAACTCTGCATCTAGCATTGAAAAATAGTAGCAAGAAGCTAGTAGGTTGGAGGCCATCGCTACTAGCAAGAAGCTGCTTATACGTTTGCGTTTAAGGCGTTTTCTCTCGAAACGATTTTTCGGGTTCCGTTCTCTCGCCAAGGCGCGGCTCTTGCCCGCTGGCCACTTCCAGGGCTTCATGGCCGAGGCGGTGGAGTAGCAGTTGTTCGAACCAGCCTTTCACGGCTCCGGCTCACGGCTCATGGCAGTTTTAACAAAAACTGCAAACTGCAAATAGTGAATAAATAAATAAATAGATAAACAATACTGTGTTTAAATAATGAATAATAATGTCATAAAAAGAACAGAGGTTGTGTTGGGCCCTTTTAATGAAGTCCCTTTTTAAGGGGACGTGCAAAAAAGCCCTTACCTTCTTATGTTCCTTTCTGAAAGGGTAGGCCATGGGAGCAAGTAGTGGGGGCAGTAGGTATGAGTAGGTCAGCTAGGTAGCTTGTAGTAAGCTAGGTAAGCTACTGAGCTTGAAAGCTACTGGAGTACCTATGGTGCACCTACCATAGTAAAAGAAGAAAACACACTTAAAGTATGTTATTCGTTCATGTTTTCGTAGAGTCCCGTTTCTCTGCTTTCTGTTTTGACACACTCGGCACAAAAATACGCCAGGCAGGCTGGACAAGGCTCCACGGCAAGCGCTGGTAGAGGTAGAGCAGCAGCAGCTAAACTGTAAAGAATGCGTGTTCATATTCATCTGCTGAGAAAAGAAAGAAAGGTCCAAAGAAGAAGAGGAAAGGTCAACCGAACAAAGACACGATGCGCCCTTATTCCACCGCACATCAACTTACACCACTTTGGATAAGGTCAGATATGTTGGTGGAGGGTAACAAGAATGCTTTCTCTGCCGCACAAGAGCCCACAGGTTGCTGAAGGCTTCACAATGAAACGCCCGAGAAATCCAGATTGCAAAAGAATTGCGATGACAGAAGAACTACTAGGGTGGAGGCCATCGCTACTAGTGGCAAGAAGCTACTAGGGAGGAGGCCATCGCTACTAGTAGCAAGAAGCTACTAGGGTGGAGGCCATCGCTACTAGCAGCAAGAAGCTGCTGGGGTGGAGGCAATCGCTACTAGTAGCCAGAAGCTACTAGGGTGGAGGCCATCGCTACCAGTAGCAAGAAGCTGCTAGGGTAGAGGCCATCGCTACCGGTAGCAAGAAGCTGCTAGGGTAGAGGCCATCGCTACTAATAGCAAGAAGCTACTAGGGTGGAGGCCATC